TGCACTCCAGCCTGGGTGACAGAGTGAGACTGTTTCCAAAAAAATAATTAAAATAAAATATATGGGGAGGCTAAAGGAAGATAAGAGACACTTTAACAAGGTGTGTTTGTACAGACTTCTCTTGGCTTCAACTCCCTGTCTCTGGTGATGAGAATGCTTCTTTCCTCCTGGAGGAAGGCATTGTTCCCATGGGAGTTTTGTTTCCTGCTTTCAGGAAGAAAGGGGGAGATTACAGCACTCTTCTTATACTGTTTTTCTTTTTCTTTTTTTGGAGATGGAGTCTGGCTGTGTCACCCAGGCTGGAATGCAGTGGCACAATCTCTGCTCACTGCAACCTTTGTCTCCTGGGTTCAAGCAATTCTCCTGCCTCAGCCTCCCAAGTAGCTAAGATTACATGGTGCTCACCACCATACCCAGCAAATTTTTATATTTTTAGTAGGGGCAAGGTTTCACCATGTTAGTCAGGCTGGTCTCAAACTCCTGACCTCAAGTGATCCACCTGCCTCAGCCTCCTGAAGTGCTGGGATTACAGGCGTGAGCCACTGCACCCAGCCTACTTACTGTTTTTCCAATGCCTTTATCTCAAATAATTGTTATGCCAAAATGGCATATTTTGAGGTGGCATATTCTACCACCCTTCAAGGGCTTCTACTCTATGGTCAACTACTTCACAAGGAGATCTTAAGGATTCATTAAAATATTTGTAGGGGACCTACTATGCGCTAGGCAAGATACCAGGTGGTAGAGACACAACTGATAATCTTCCTTATCTAAATGGAGCTTATTATCTTCTCAGGTCAAAAGGTTTTGATTAGGATGTAGGTTCACCAGCCATAACAAAGGCCAATATAACAGTGCCTTTAAACAGAGAGAACTTTCCTTCTCATATAAGCAGCCCAGGGCTGATATGGTAGCTCCATGGAGCTTGGGTATCTAGACAGCATGCCCTGCCATTCTTAACAAAAGATTTCCGTCTCATGGTCTTAAATGACTGCTTTAGATGCTTTCGATGCTTTAGCTCCAGCATCAAACCTTCATTCCAGTCAGTAAGAGGAAAAGAGAAAGTGGGAGGAAACATTTTCTTAAAGGGTATGACCTGGGAATCACATACATCACTTTAGCTTATGTCACATTGGTCAGAATTTAGTTACATGGCCATGTCTAGCTGCTGCAAGGGAAATGTAGTGTTTAGCTGGGCAGCCACATGGCCGGATGAAAGTCAGGGATCTGTTACCTAAGGAAGAAAGGTGAATGGGTTATGAGGGGCCAATAGCAAGCAGCACCTGGCCCACAGGAATATTGCTCTTGGGTCAGGCTAACGCACTGTCAACAATCACTGGCTCTACCACCTGACAGCTAACATGTCTTAGGAAAATGACTTCGTATTTTTGCTACTCAATTTTCTCATCTGTAACATGAGGATTAAAATACATAATAGGGTTGATGGGATTAAATTAGATAATATATGCAAAGCATCTGGAACTCAGCAGGTGCTCAATCCACATGTCCTTCCTGAATTGGTTTTGAAAGCATTTCCAAAGAAAATTTCAAAGTCTGAATGGCAGGAACAAGATGGACTCTATCCTGGGCACCGCCTTCCTGGTTTGTTTTTTTCGCAGTCCTTATTTAGTTGTTTTATAAATTCTGGGTGGGTGTGGTGTTATTTAGAGTTATATAATAACTTTTGTTTTGTTATTTTAGAGTTACATCTCATCAGAATGAAGTCATCAGTGACAACACTTTATTTACATTATATTTCTGCATTTGTTGAAGCAGTTTGTTGTAGAATAATGCTTGAACGCAGACCCTAACTTAGGCTGCTTGGATCCCAACACCACCAAGGGCTATCACTGTATTACTGGGCATGTCATTCAACCTCAGGTTTCAGTTTTCTCATCTGTAAAATGGGAATAACAGTAGCATTGCCGTGACAATTAAATGAAATGATTGATGTTAGCATCTGGCACATATAAGGGCTTAAAAATGTTATCAGTGTCAAAGAAACACTTCACGTTGCCGGGCGCGGTGGCTCAAGCCTGTAATCCCAGCACTTTGGGAGGCCGAGGCGGGTGGATCACGAGGTCAAGAGATCGAGACCATCCTGGTCAACATGGTGA